CACTTACCAATGCTGAAGTATTGCTTCTTAGAAGCAGCATTGTCAGCATGCCTTTTGAGCCCCTTAAAGTATATTTCCACTTTTACAGTCAAATTTGAGCAAACTCCACTCTATGCTTGCTATGTGTTTCCAGTCAAACAGCATGCCTTTTTAAATATTTTTTTTCAGATGTATCTCAGGATGATGGGTCATGGCCGACTGCAAGCTTTTTTGAATATTATAGTGAGCCTGTCCCAAGTCTGTCCTCATTAACATACACTGCAAGAAACCCAGTCTCTGCACCTTTAAGCCTTTGTTAGGAAAGGCAGTGTTCAAATCTAATTACAGATCTGCCTGCACAGTACAGACAGTTAATTATGGCAAATACAGCTGCCCAGCCCTCACATAAGCTACTTAGGATTTTTCTTGCTAGAGTGTCCAGCATAGAGATTCTAAAAATGGTAAGCTGCAATTTTTAAACAATTTTTAGGTTATGCTATGCGAATTTGGACATGTAACAAATATGCAGTGTATTCATAAAGTATTCAGATCCCCTTCACTTTATTTCATTTTTTTATGTTGCAGCCTGATACCGCAGTTTTTTAAATTCATTTTTTTTTCATTAATGTACACTCAATACCCCATAATGACAAAGTGAAAACAGAATTTTAGAAATGTTTGCAAATGTATGAAAAAGGAAAAAACTGAAATATCACAGTGGCATAAGTATTCAGACCCTTTGCACTAACGCTTGAAATTTAGCTCAGGTGCCTCCCATTTCTCTTGATTTTTGCTGAGAGGCTTATGCAGGCCATAAACGGGTCGCTTATCGGCCAAATTTTTGTCCGATAAACGAAAAATCGGTCGGCCCCGTTGCCGATGCTTCCACCAATGTCCACGAAAAAAGGGCCGTTTTTCGGGGATTTTCCAGCATGACTGCTAAAAATAAATGTGAAGATCCGCGAAAAACGGCCAATGGGCTGGCCCCACTAACAGCGTGAATATCGGCCGATTTTTCGTTTATTGGACGAAAATTAGGCAGATAAACGGCCCGTCTATGGCCTGCCTTACTCGGCAGGCTGACAACACTGTTGCTAATTGAAAGGCAGCAGCTTAGTGTTTTCAGCTTGCAACAGAAAATGCATTTGTAGCAGGATCTACATTTAGCCCTATTTCACACTGATGCGGTGCGGAATTCGCAGCGTTTTCTGTGCGAATTCCGCACCAGATCACACCCCGTTCATGCGAACCACTGCGGGTGTGTATATTAAGTTAACAACACCCTGAAAGCAGTCTGCAAAATGCAGTGCATTGTGCAGAATCGGATCGCATTGGTGTGAATAGCTATGCGATCCGATTCTAGTGCGGACCAAAACAAGGGTCCTGCACGTTTTTAGTGCAGGTGCTGTGCTATTAGAGCCATACAAAATGTATGGCTCCAATCGCACCGCACACAAATCACATGTGATTTGCACAGGAATGCAGTGTGGTTCCTGTGCGAATCACATGTGATATACCGCTCCGCATATACAGTGAGGAACAGAAGTATTTGAACACCCTGCGATTTTGCAAGTTCTCCCACTTAGAAATCATGGAGGGGTCTGAAATTCACATTGTAGGTGCATTCCCACTCTGAGAGAGAATTTAAAAAAAAAATCAGGAAATCACATTGTATGATTTTTAAAGAATTTATTTGTCTTGCACTGCTGAACATAAGTATTTGAACAACTGAGAAAATCAGTGTTAATATTTGGTACAGAAGCCTTTGTTTGCAATTACAGAGGTCAAACGTTTCTGTAGTTCTTGACCAGGTTTGCACACACTGCAACAGGGATTTTGGCCCACTCCTCCACACAGATCTCCTCTAGATCTGTCAGGTTTCAGGGCTGTCGCTGAGCAACACAGAGTTTCAGCTCCCTCCAAAGATGTTCTATTGGATTTAGGTCTGGAGACTGGCTAGGCCACTCCAGAACCTTGATATGCTTCTTACGGAGCCACTCCTTGGTTATCTTGGCTGTGTGCTTCGGGTCGTTGTCATGTTGGAAGACCCAGCCATGACCCATCTTCAATGCTCTGACTGAGGGAAGGAGGTTGTTGCTCAAAATCTCACAATAAATGGCCCCATTCATCCTCTCCTTAACCACTTGCCGCCCAGCCACTGCATATAAACGGTTGCAGGGCAGCACTCGTAGGCAAAACCACGTTTTAAAACGTGGTTCTGCAAAACAGGTAGGGGGCGCACGTGAGGCGCGCGCCCGCCCTGCCTGTCTCACGGGTGTCAGCAGCCGGTCTCCGCCGTTGGGTCACCCAGCCGTTTTCCCTTGATGAGCGGTGATCGCTGACACAGAGCAGGGCTGCATTGTTTACACACAGCCCTGCTCTGTGACAGTTCCCCGACAAGCTGAAGAGGGAGAGAAGAGTTTCTCTCCCTCGATCAGCTCCCCCCTCCCTCCCCCGTCCAGCACACACCCCTGCCCCCTAGTAAAACACTCCCCTCACACAGTAAACACTAAATATGTTAACCCCTTCCTCCCCAGTGACATTAGTACAGTGTCAGTGGGGTTTTTTTTCACTGATCACTGTATTGGTGTCACTGGGGATGTCAGTGACCCCAAGTCAGTTCCCCCCCAGTGTCAAAATGGCCGCGCAGTCCCACCATAAGTTGCTGATCGCCGCCATATGTCGCTGATCGCCACCATTATTAGTATAAAAGAAAAAAAAAAATCCCAGTATCTTTCCCGCCATTTGTAAACGCTATAACTTTCACGTAAACCAATTAATTTACACGTATTGGGTTTTTTTTTTTTAGCAAATTGGGTTTTTTTTTTTAGCAAAGACATGTCGCGGAATGCATTTTGGCAGAAATTTATGGCTAAATTTGATTTTTGCATTTTTTTTTACTGGACATGTTTTACAGCAAAAAGTCCAAAATATCGTTTTTTTTCCACAAAATTGTCAGCCTTTTTTTTTTATAGCGCAAAAAATAAAAACCGCACAGGCGATCAAATACCACCAAAAGAAAGCTCAATTTGTGGGGAAAAAAAGGATGTAAATTTCATTTATGTACCGTATTGCATGACCGCGCAATTGTCCGTTAAACTAGCTCAGCGCTGTATAGCAGAAAAATGGCGTAAATTGCAGTATTTATACCATAGTTTGTAGACGCTATAACTTCCACACAAAGCAATCAATATACACTTATTGGTTTTTTTGTTTACCAAAAACATGTAGCAGAATACATTTTGGCCTAAATTTATAACCAACTTTGAGTTTACTATATATTTTTTATAGCTGAAAGTAAAAAATATTGTTTTTCTTCAAAATTTTTGGCCTTTTTTTGTTTATGGCGTGAAAAATAAAAAGTGCACAGGTGATCAAGTTACACCGAAAGAAAGCTCTATTTGTGTGGAAAAAAAGGACGTAAATTTCGTTTGGGTGCAGCATCGCATGACCGCGCAATTATCAGTTGAATTAGTGCAGCGCTAAGTAGCAAAAAGAGGCCTGGTCATTAAGGGGGGTAAATCCTCTGGAGCTCAAGTGGTTAATACAGTGCAGTCGTCCTGTCCCCTTCGCAGAAAAGCACCCCCAAAGCATGATGTTACCACCCCCATGCTTCACAGTAGGGATGGTGTTCTTGGGATACAACTCAACCTTCTTTTTCCTCCAAACACGACGAGTGAAGTTTAGACCAAAAAGTTCTACTTTGGTCTCATCTGACCACATGACTTTCTCCCATGCCTCCTCTGGATCATCCAGATGGACATTGGCAAACTTCAGATGGGCCTGGACATGTGATTACTTGAGCAGGGGAACCTTCCATGCAATGCATGATTTGAAACCATGATGGCGTAGTGTTCTACCGACAGTGACCTTTGAAACTGTGGTCCCAGCTCTCTTCATGTCATTGACCAGCTCCTCCCTTGTAGTTCTGGGCTGCTTCCTCACCTTTCTTATCATCAGTGATACCCCACGAGGTGAGATCTTGCATGGAGCCCCAGTCCGAGGGAGACTGACAGTCATCTTTAGCCTCTTCCATTTTCTAACAATTGCTCCAACAGTTGATCTATTTTCACCAAGCTGCTTGGCAATTGTCCCATAGCCCTTTCCAGCCTTGTGGAGGTCCACAATTTTGTCTCTGGTGTCTTTTGACAGCTCTTTGGTCTTGCCAATGGTAGTGGTTGGCGTCTGACTGACTGTGGGGTGGACAGGTGTCTTTAAAGAGCTCAAACAGGTGCTACTAAGTTAGATTAATGAGTGGCGTAGAGGTGGACTTTTTAAAGGCACAGTAACAAGTCTTTAAGAGCCAGAATTCTTGCTGTTTTTTAGGTGTTCAAATACTTATGTTCAGCAGTGCAAGACAAATAAATTCTTTAAAAATCATACAATGTGATTTCCTGATTTTTTTTTTTTTAATTCTGTCTCTCAGAGTGGGAATGCACCTACAATGTGAATTTCGGACCCCTCCATGATTTCTAAGTGGGAGAACTTGCAAAATCGCAGGGTGTTCAAATACTTCTGTTCCTCACTGTATGTGAACCAAGGCTGAAGAAAGTTGCAACAAATTCACAAAGATAATGATTTTCCTAAGAAAGTCAGATACATTGAGGTATGAGGCAAGCATACTAAAAATTGATTTATGGTTTGCAAATATTTTAGCAGCACTAGCATACAGTATACTACTATGCAGCTCGTTTGTGTGAATCACCAAACTTTGCTATTCTCCTATTTATATGATCATCCTCGCTGACTGATGCCACATAGGCAGATTTTTCACCTTTTATTTTAGAAATTACAGATCTGTCTGTACTGGTCTTATTCATAGTACTCTATTTTCATTTTCAATTTGACACATACATGGTAAAAGTCTCATTACTGCTTCAATGGAAAAAGAGCAATACTGATTATTCACATAGATGTTTCGCCTTTGTGCATTTCAGGCTCTCTGGGTCATTTCCTGCAAGTATACAATATTTTAGGTAGAAGACAATATTAATATTCTCAGAATGATGTGTAATTCTTACTAATGGTGCAATCTTCAGTGATGGTCCTGGCAAAGAATGGAACTGAAGGGTAAATTCTGAGTGCTTCTTTAACAACTGTTTCAAGATAACGCAGCTTCTTCAGATCATCCATTGTCACCGGCCTGTCAGACTGACCTAAGGATGTATAAAAAATATGTCAGAGGGACCTTCTCTTTCATCACTTCGAAGCTGTCATCAGAGCTTTTATTCCATCACCTAAACTGGCATGTGTGTGCAACAACTACCTTTCAAGTACAACTTGTTTTAAGTCCAAGTAAACCCAAAACTTTTCCTTTTTTTGGACATAGTAGGGAAGGGTTAAAACCCATTGGAATTTTTCTGCCATCTGTATTTTATTGGAGAGATGTATTCACTTCCTGTCATGTAGATACTACAAGAAGCAAGAAAAAATATTTCTAAAGTGAGGGAAATCCTCTCTAAGGAACTAGAAATGTGTCCCCACTGGTAGATGTACCCTTTAGGCTAGGTTCACACCTATGCGTGTTGTGATTGATGCGTTTTTCTGGCACTAACCCTAACATTTAACGATAAGCCTAACATTTAAACCTAACCCTAGTCTTAGCCCTTAACCCTAACATCTAACTCTAGCTCTTAACCTTAGCCCTTAACCCTTAGTTCTTAACCCTAGCCCTTAAAGCGGAGTTCCACCCAAAAGGAGAAGTTCTACTTTAATGCTTTGTCCCCCGCTCCCCATTAAGGATTGGCACCTTTGGGGAGTGGAGGGAACCTGAATTTGAAAGTTACCCACTCCCACTTCTGCTCCGATCGCCTAGGCCAGGGGTAGGCAACCTTCGGCTCCCTAGCTGTTGTGGAACTACATTTCCCATGAGACATTGCAACATTACAAAACTGACAGTTACAGCTATGACTTGCAGAGGCATGATGGAACTTGTAGTCCTGCAACAGCTGGAGAGCCGCAGGTTGCCTACCCCTGGCCTAGGAAATCGAAAGCGGAAGTTGTCGTCCCCCCCCCCCACAGTGTTCTGGGACACGTGACAGGTCCCAGAAGACTACGGGGCCATTCACAAAGCGCATGCACGGTGGACACCCGGAGATACCGGCGCCAGGGAGAGGAGACGGCCGGTGAAACCAGCCATGGTGAGGACACCGCTGGAACGAGGGACAGGTAAGTGGCTGTATTTTAAATGTCAGTAGCTAGTTTTTGTAGCTGCTGACTTTTTTTTTCAGCTGGAACTCCGCTTTAACCATAACCCTAGTCCTTAACCCTAACCCTAACATGCGACTTTGGGCACAGAGTCGCATGACAAGTCGCAGTCCATTGATGGCAATGAAACCCCTTCAAATCTATGCAACTTAACCGCCTCCCGTCCGCCATATAGTACAATGACGGGTGCAAGGCGGGTCACTCGTTCTGGGAGGACGTCATATGGCGTCCTCCCATTCTAACCGCGCATGTGCGGCTCCGGGAGCGCGCAGAGTGGCGATCTGCGGTGCGCTGTGTCCCTTCGGACACAGCGGATCACCGATCAACGGAAAGAGCTGAAGATGTCGGCTCAGTCATGTGATCAGCTGTGTCTAATAACAGCTGATCGCATGTAAATAGGGAAATGCCGGTTACCAGCATTTCTCTCCTCATGAGCTGTCACGCTGACAGCTCGAGAGGAGAGCGGGTAATCGGCATCCCTCAGAGGGGACATGTACACTGATCACACTGTTCAACAGGTAAAAAGTTTTGGGCATAAAATTAGCTAATCTTACATAATTTTGGGGTGCTGAAAACGAAAATGACCCTAAAAAATGTTGATTGGCTCTAGTTTCCATGATATATTCACCCATCTAATGACGTAAGCCATTCAAAATTATGATGCAACTTCAGCTGCATATTGCGCAATTGATACTGGTGACCAATAGAAAATTGCATGTATACTGAGATGATGCAATATTAGCCTTTAATTGCATCACTTCACTGCATAAAAGCTGCAGTATCTGTAGCTGATTGTAGTTCGACAGCGTCTTTACATTTCGTTTTATGCTTATATAGGCTACTCAGTAATGCCTCGAACTTGTGTGAATAAAGCAGATAATTTCTGCTATATCTGCGGTGAAATAACTTTTATCTCACAAAAAAAGGAGGATAACAGGAATGATTAAGAAAGCCTACAACTTGTATTTTGGCTGCAAGATAGGAGACCAGGACAAGAGCTGGGCACCACATATATGCTGCAATTCTTGTGGGACGGCACTGGAGCAATGGTTGAATGGAAAAAAGGCATCTATGCCTTTCGCTGTGCCAATGATTTGGAGAGAGCCAACAGATCATGTTAGTAATTGTTACTTTTGTATGGTGCCTCCAATTGTAAAAGGGCTAAATAAGAAGAAAAAGTTATCTGTGCACTATCCAAATATTCCATCGGCAATACGTCCAGTTCCTCATGGAGAGGGGCTACCAATTCCTAAAGCACCAGAATCCTTCGTGGTTGAGTCAAGTGAGGAAGAACCTGAAGCGTGTAGTCACGTGCAGTTGTAAGAGATAGCCCTTTCCTCGAATACAAGAGAAAAGCCAAGAGAAGCAAAACCGACACAAACTGAAAACCAAACTAGTGAGAATCCTAAGTATTAAAATGATTCAACTTAGCTTATGGCTATAATTTTCTTGGTAATCCTATGCAATATGTTATGCCATTTAGGCTTTGTTATGTAGTCAATATCACTTTATATTTGTGGAAAGACATCTATCTATATAATTATTGTGCATTATGTAGTCATTACGCCTATAGTAGAAAACTTTCCGTTTACAGAAAAACTAGAGCCAATTGACAAATTTCATTGTTATATTTGAACTCAGAATGTGAAATTCATTAAGAAATGGATCCTTTTGTTTCCAAAACTGGCAAAAAATAAAAATTTGTTGAACAGTGTCATCAGGGCATCAGGGCACTGATGATCAGTGTGCCCTGATGATCTGTGTAGCCCCAGCAGTACCACCTGTCAGTGTCCATCAGTGCCAGCCAGCTGTCAGTGCTCATCCATGCCACCTGCCAGTGCTCATCAGTGCAGCATCAATTCCACATTTCAGTGCCTACCAGTGCACATCAATGCCACATATCAGTGCCCATCTGAGCTGCCTTTCAGTGTCACCCATCAGTGCCAGTCAGTGCCACCTATCAATGCCAGTCAGTGCCACCTATCAGTGCTCCCAATCAGTGCCACCTATCAGTGCCAGTCAGTGCTGCCAGTCAGTGCCGCCTATCAGTGTGGATCAGTGCCGCCTATCAGTGCCCGTCAGTGCTGCCTATCAGTGCCGCCTAACAGTGCCAGTCAGTGCCACCTAGCAGTGCCAGTCAATGCCACCTATTAGTGCCGCCTATCAGTGCCATATATGAGTGCTGTCTTTCAGTGCCCATCAGTGATGCCTGTCAATGCCCATCAGTGCCACCTACCAGTGCCTCCTCATCAGTGCCACCTATCAGTGTCCATCAGTGCAGACTATCAGTGCCCATCAGTGCAGACTCGTTAGCGCACATCAGTGAAGGAGAAAAATCACTTATTTACAAAATGTTATAACAAAAACTAAGAAAAAACTTTTTTTTCCCCAATTTTCTGTGGTTTTTGGTTTGTTTAAGAAAAAATAAAAATTCCAGAGGTGATTAAATACCACCAAAATAAAGCTCTATCAGTCTCAAAAAAATTATAAAAATATCATATGGGTACAGTGTTGCATGACCGCGCAATTGTCATTCAAAGTGTGACAGCGCTGAGAGCTGGAAATTGGCCTGGGCAGGAAGGGGGTATAAGTGCCCAGTAGGCAAGCGGTTAAAGTCTATGAAACCTGACAGGTAGCCAGTGTAGGGACGTCAGAATAGGGGTAATATGGCCATGTGTACCAGACCTAGTGAGGATTCTGGCTGCAGGTTTTGTACATGTTGAAGTTAATGAATTATGGATTTAGGTACAACAGCAAGAAGAGCATTGCAGCAGTCAAGTCACAACACCACAAATGCATGGATTAGCTTTTCAACTACAGTTTATAATGGCATAGGATACAGCTGGACAATGTTTCTTGGTTTGTTTAAGAAAAAATAAAAAAAAAACAGAGGTGATTAAATACCACCAAAATAAAGCTCTATCTGTAACAAAAAAGTTTTAAAAATTTCATATGGGTACAGTGTTGCATGACTGCGCAATTGTCATTCAAAATGCAACAGTGCTGAAAGCTGGAAATTGGCCTGGGCAGGAAGGGGGTATAAGTGCCTTGTAGGCTAGTGGTAAAAGTGACTTGAGTACCAGAGAGTGTAAAGTTGCATCAAAGTCACACTCAATACTTTTTTCATTAATTTATATCAGTTTTTTTTATCCATTTTACATCCGTTTACATCCATTTTTCCTATGTTTACATCCGTTTTTCATCCGTTTTCGTCTTTTTATCCATTTTTGTCTGTTTACATCCATTTACTTCTGTTTACATCCAATTTTTCTCTGTTTCGTTTTTCTTACGGAAGAAAAATAGGGTTTTCTTCCAGTCAAAAACACAGATTTTAACAAATACGAACATTAACAGATGTAAACAGATGATCATCCATTTACATCTGTTCGTCCATAGAAATACATAGATGTACGTTTTTCATCTGTAAACGGACAGATGAAAAACGGACACACAGAACGCCCGTGCGAAAGAGGCCTTAGTTAAGAATGAGCTCTTTTTATGTGAATTTTAATCTGAAAGACTTGTGTATTCTTCTGTCTGTGTACCAGATGTATGACTGGTTCACAGTGACCACTGAACACAGAATATATCAAATAATGAAAAAAAAAAATCAGATTATATTTGCTACAATCTCATTAACTATCTACATGGATTTGGGTGATTTAAACTGGGCACATGATGACAAAGTGCCTAAGCAGAGGTTGGGAGTCTTGTGAAAATAAAAATGTGGGTTATTTTTATTTGAAATTAAAAAAAAATAATAATTCTTAGTACAATACCCTACCCGCAGGTGCCAATGTCTAATTTGCAAACTAATTCCACCACACATACAGTATGTGTTTATCACAGCAGTGTCCTTGTTGTACAGTTTCTGTTGGATTATTAGGTTTTAAGCTGCTATGAGCCATGCTGTCAACCTTACATTTCTGCATGTCTTACCAAAAGTCTCATCCAGTTCTTTGTGCACCTTTGCCTGGATTTCTGGGTGGGATCCCAATAAAAATAAGGACCAGTTAAGAGCAGCAGCAGTTGTATCGTGACCCTAAAGATTAAAATTTGATTATACTTCTATACCTTTTGATTGTCACATTACAGTGTCAAAGTAGTTTTGCATTTACTGTGTTTTTGTACACCTAAAACTTTTAATAAACATATATTAAAAAATAAAATTCAATCTGTTAAACCATTCTGTCAATAATACTATATAACTGAAATATTAATACATTTAGTATGTAAAGCAAATAAAACAGCTGTTTGTCTGGCATAGTAAAATATCTTGAAAAAAATAGTTGTTAGTCAAAAATTTTAATTATTAAAAGCAATAAAAAAATCTTTCAGTATGGTGTAGTATCTTTGAATTAAGAATGTGTAATTAGCAGTCAGTAACAACAAATTTATACAGGTTCCGTACGTCTGTTTATTATGAAACATTGTCTGACAGGAAGAACATAATTCCTTTTATGGTGCACAAAGATAAGCAGGAGGCATTTGAAGCTCCGTATTTATGTAAAGAAACCTGGGAGCTGGCAATGCTGCCTTGAGAGTAATAGTGTGGGCTCCGTGACACCATCATTCTATTTTATTACAAAATACAAGTAAGGTATTGCAGCTTTTTTTTAATACCCTGACAGGCTCCATTTAACATCAAAATATTGCGAGAAAACACTGACCTACAGGCATTCAGCAGAAGACTGTAGTATCACTTCAAGCAGCAATGTGATGCCTAGTAGAAGACAAGTAGCAAAGGGGTTTCTTTACGAAAGCTGGAGAGTGTAAAATCAGGATCACTTCTGCATAGAAACCAATCAGCTTCCAGGTTTTATTGCCAAACCTTAGTTAAACAAGCTGAGGTTAGAAGCTGATTGGTTTTTATGCAGAAGTGAGCCTGATTTTGCACTCTCCAGCATTAGTAAATAAACCCCAAAGTGCTGCTGTTGGTAGCAGAACAGAGAACAGACAGGCATTGCACATTTGAGCATTCTTTGCAAAGTGAAATTTCACTATGGTCTAGTGGAAACACCCTTGCAATGTGAAAAGCCTATTTGCCTTTAGTAAATCAATCTTAACGTATTCAAGACTGTTGTCAGCCTTGCCTGAGCTCTTCCCTCCTGCACTATGCCTGCACATCCCCTTCTCCTCAATTTTAGAACTCTAAGCCCTTTTTCCCTACTGTTTCTCTCCCCCGGCCACTATTTCAGTGCAACAGTTACAGTGTTGTCAGCCTACTACAGGAAGTTAGGAGCTCACTACATTTCTGGCAGGATCGCCTGATATGTTTCAGTGTTTGAAGCATTTTTAGAAACAAATAATGGTGGGAATTGTGGATTTTGCTGACACATACATTTTAAAAATGCTTTTCAACCGAAATCCTAAGTGTTTTTTAGCACATATTATACAAAGTAGTACAGAACGGTGAAAATTGATGTGGATGCCCAAAAGCATGTGTGGAGTAAAGTCAAAAGGACCACTAGTTAAACTTTTAAACTGGTGCAAGATGATTATTTTGTCATTGTGGGGTTGATTTACTAAAACTAGAGTTCAAAATCTGATCTAGTGCAGCTCTGCGTAGAAACCAATCAGCCTCCAGTTTTTTGTCAAAGCTTAATTGAACAAGCTGAAGTTAGAAGATGATTGGCTACCATGCACAGCTGCGCCAAATTTTTCATTTTCCAGTTTTAGTAAATCAACCCCTTTGTCTCTGTATAAACAAAAGATCATAAAACTAATATGGTGAAACTTCCATATTCAGAAGTGCTAAAATGTTTTATTCCAACAGCCCAGCAAAAAAGTCAACTATTTATTGAGGTTTTAAAAAAAATGCCAGCTAAGTAAACTACCTCAAACATGAAGGTGTCAACTTCTTCACGGATGTCCTTATAGCTCAAAGTATTGCCAGCATCATCTGTTACTTTGAGAAGCATATCCAAGAAGGCACTTCTCTTTTTGGATTTCTTATCTGCACTACCATTGGTAGTTGCTTCGTCATTTTTCAGTTCTTCTGCTCTCTCTAAAATGGTCTGTGGATAAGCAAACATAAACCATTGTTTTACAATTAGCAAACATCTTTAAAAAAATGCTCATAAAACTTATCCAACTTTCAGTTCCCTAAAATACTTTAGGTAGGCTAATAATATGCTCCAAATTAAATTGTATACACTTTAAAGAGCTGCTATACATTCTCATGTGTTTAAATTAAAAAAACGACTTTAATTTTCTGGATCCTGTCAGATCCTGCCTTTTTTTCTTCTCCAATTATCACCAAAATATATAGAAAATCAATCAGACATTTGATAAACTCAGCTAAGGCTTGTATTCCTGTCTGCTGGTAAAAGATCCCCCTCTGTCCATCCAGATGTGACTTAAAGTGGGAAACATATTGAGAATGGAAGACTTACTTAATTCACAAAAAATTACTCTGGACACATTCCATAAAGCTTGGCGGCTTCATACTTGAAAGAAGGGAAACATTTGTTAGCTGGAAATGAGTGAGTGGAGTTTGCTCTCTCTAACACTTGTTAATCATGTCTATATGTCTATTTCATCTCTATCAAAGTTTAATTACGGTCCCTTCAGTGGATAATTCTTCCCCTTTATTTCTAATATCTTCTATCCTCCCATTTTAAGTTTCACCTTCCCTTTTCTTTTCTCTGTTGTGGAACACATCTACTGTGAGGCCTTGTCTAGATGGATCCCCCTTAGTTGATAACCTTACTCCTCAATTTATCCCTTTTGTATTTGCTTTGCAATACTATACCTATTTTGATTTTCCACTTAAAAAAAAAAAACACAGATCCAGCAATTATATCACAGCAGCTACACAAATGTATCTCTGTCTCCCTTTGGTCTAATGGCAATCAATTCAGTGTTGACAATGCTGAACATATACACATTTCATATATATATATATATATATATATATACACACACACACACACTATATTGCCAGAAGTATTGGGACACCTGTCCAAATCATTGGATTCAGGTGTTCCAATCACCTCACCAAAATTATTTGAACGCCTGCCTTTACACGCACATGAACTATAATGGCATCCCGGTCTTAGTCCATAGGGTTCAATATTGAGTTGGCCCGCCCTTTGCAACTATAACAGCTTCAGTTCTTGGCTGCCCACAAGGTTTAGGAGTGTCTATGGGAATCTTTGACCATTCTTCCAGAAGTGCATTTGTGAGGTCAGGCACTGATGTCAGACAGGAAGGCCTGGCTCATAGTCTGCCTCTAATGCATCCCAAAAGTGTTCTATTGGGTTGAGGTCAGGACTCTGTACAGGCCCAGGGATGTCCAATTCCTAGCGCCCAACACCCTGGACATGTAGTTGTGGGCGCTGGACAGGTAGGTTTTTTTCGCCCTTAGCCCTGCTGCGGGTAAGCAGCAGGGCTCACCTGTCCACACAGCCCACAGTGTCAGCCCCGCCCCCGTTATATGTCCCGGGCTCCGTTTGCCCATCTGCGGGCCCGAGACTGGTTCGGCGGGTGCTGCAGGATGTGGTATAGGGGAGGGAGGAGGAAAGCGGACACATCCACTCCCCTCCCCTTCTTCTCCTGATCCGGAAGTGATGTAACGTCACTTTCAGGTTCCAGTTCGACAGATTCCCGGTCATTGAGGCTGGGAAAGAATGTAATACGGTGCGATGTGCACTGCATTACATTCAGTGTAGAACAGGGGAGACATGCAGGGTCTTTTAGACCCTGCATGTCTCAAAAAAGAGAACCTGTCACCAAATAAATTAATTTTTTTTTTTAAATGGAAGTTAAATCTAAGCATATAACACCCCCACATTTTTCAAGGCCCCCCACCCCCACATATGTACGCACATACACATGTAAAAGCACTTGGGCACCTACACATGAAAACTTGGACTGCGATACACGTTACATATCGCCACGCATGCCAGAGTGAGAGCAATAATTCTAGCACCAGTACACTATACTGATGACCTATAAGGGGATTTAAAAGTGTCACCTATAGAAAATATAAGGTACTAAAGTTTGTTGCTGTTTCACGAGCACACGCAGATTTAAGGTTTGACATGTTGGATGTCTATTTACTCACTGCAACCTCGCCTTTTATATTTTACAAAAAAATTGGATAATTTATTGCTTTTTGTGCCTTAAAATTAACTTAAGTGTATTTTATACTGATATTTTGTGTTTCCTAGACCTTTGTGATAATATCATGTGACATAAAAAATTGGAACTACTGCTATTTTATTCTCTGGGATCTCTGCTTTCACAAAATATATCATGTTTGGGTGTTTTGTGTCATCTTCAGGCCTAAAACGATTTTTGAAAGATGTGCAAAAAAATGCAAAAAACAGCCCTGGCAGCGAAAGGGATAAAGGATAAGTCCAACACTCCCCTTTCCTGATGAGCAGCCAATTGGTGCTCACTACACTGCGAGGTCTCTTCACTCCCTGCTAGTCCCCAATTGCGGTGCTGGAGACAGGCAGGGAGGGGAGGAGGAGATAAACAGCGCAATGTTAAAAATATTAAATGTTTAAGTCACTATAAAGCCCCTTTTGTTTTTAAAAGCCCCAGACATTACTTAAAGCAGATTTAAATACAGTTTTGGTTAAAATGTAGGTTTTTTTTATCAGGACAAGTAGATTGTCATGAGGGACAAGTAGATTGGGACACCGATTTAGTCCCTGGACAAGTAGTTTTTTAAAAAATTTCCACACCCCTGAGGCCAGCCAAGTTCCTCTACCCTAAACTCGCTCATCCATGTCTTTATGGACCTTGCTTTGTGCACTGGTGCGCAGTCATGTTGGAACAGGAAGGGGCCATCCCCAAACTGTTCCCACAAAGTTGGATGCATGAAATTGTCCAAAATGTCTTGATATACTGGTGCCCTAAGAGTTCCCTTCACTGGAACTAAGGAGCCAAGCCCAGCCCCTGAAAAACAACCCCACACTTTATTCCCTTCTCCACCAAAATTTACACTTGGCACAATGAGTCAGGCAAGTACCGTTCTCCTGGCAACCGCCAAACCCAGACAGAGAAGCGTGATTTGTCACTCCAGAGAACACATCTCCACTGCTCTAGAGTCCAGTGGTGGCATACTTTACACCACTGCATCTGATGCTTTGCATTGCACTTGGTGATGTAAGGCTTGGATGCACCTGCTCGGCCACGGAAACCTATTCCATGAAGCTCTCTAAGCACTGTTGTTGTGCTAATCTGAAGGCCACATGAAGTTTGAAAGTCTTTAGCTAGTGACTCAGCAGTCAGTTGGCTACTTCTGCACACTGTGCGCTTCAGCATGCGCTGACCCCACTCTGTCATTTTACGTGGCCTACCACTGCATGGCTGAGTTGCTGTTGTTCCCAGTTGCTTCCACTTTATAATACCACTAACTGCTGATGGTGAAATATTTAGTAGCAAGGAAATTTCATGGATGGACATGGTTTGCAAAGGTGGCAGCCTATCATGGTACCACGCTTGAAATCACTGAGAGCGACCCATTCTTTCACAAATATTTGTAGAAGCAGTCTGCATGCCTAAGCGCTTGATTTTATACACCTGTGGCCATGGAGGTGATTGGAACACCTGAATCCAATGATTTGGAGGGGTGTTCCAATACTTAGGGCAATACAGTGTAGATGTGAATGTGATAGTAGACTTTTCACATAATGGACATGTATTATCGTACCTATGAACCTTTGTGTTTAGGGACACAGAATGCAGTACGAATGCTAACATGTAGAGGTAGATATTTTTTGTAATTCACCTACTTTATCAGTAAATCCGTGGAGAATTTTCAGGTTTTTATCATGATTCTTTCCGGCTTTCAAGCGCGAGTACACAAAATCTGGCCACAACCAGGGCATCTTCTGCCGACATTGTATCATATCACTCATTCTATTGGAAAGGATATTTAATCAGCTGTGTATGCTTATTTTTGAATACATACCATTTCACTCATTCATACTGTTTCCATATTTTTTTCCAACATCCAATAAGATTACAGCTCTTGTTTTGGGGCTAATGAAATCAGCCTCAGTAAAAAGTGCTATACATTGTTCTTCTTGCTGCATAAAGCAACTAATCAATTTCCAAATATAATTTTCCAAAGTAGATTTTAATAGAAGCAAAATGGGTCCTATTTATCACACATATATATAGGTCCTGCAATAAACATCGACACTCGTACAGCTCCCTCAGGATGTCGGGAAACAAATTGGTTTTTTAGAAAATTGGAAATTTTGTGCGTTTTGTAATCCGATGGTGCCACCATTGATTTCGAAATTCGACCAACCAAGCCTTCAATTTCACCTCATGTTGCTACAGAAAATAATTTTTGTGACTGGGAATCTTCTTTTCTTTCCAGGTCAGAGCTCATGCTCATTTCTTTTCCAATTATATTCCTCCCACGATTCACCCATCATTGATTAGAAATTCTTTTGTTTTTCAAAAAGTTTCCAACATGCCCAATCACTCAAATTTGAAGGCCACGCGAAAATCGTCTGAAGCTGTGGCCCACTAATGATGTGAAATTTGAAGGAAAGAAAATTATTACGATTTTCGAAAGAAAATTCATTTGGAAAAGACCCGTGTATGGCCTACAATAGTGTATCTTTTCAGGAAAACCAACTGTCAAACATGCATTGTCCAACTGTCATCTTGTTAAGTTTAAAATGTATGGCAACATAGAAAACCCCTATAAAAAAACTTTGAAAAGTAAAGCCCAACAGACGTTATACACTGCTCACAAAAAATTAAGGGAAAACTTTTTAATCAGAGTATAGTATCAAGTCAATTAAACTCCTGGGATATTGATTTGGTCAGTTAAGTAGCAGAGGGGGTTGTTAATCAGTTTCAGCTGCTTTGGTGTTAATGAAATTAACAACAGGTGCACTAGATGGGCAACACTGAGACGACCCTCAAAACAGGAATGGTTTTACAGGTGGAGGCCACTGACATTTATTTCCCTACTCATCTTTTCTGTTTTTCACTAGTTTTGCATTTGGCTAGGGTCAGTGTTACTATTGGTTGCATGAGGTGATACCTAGAACCTACAGAGGTTGCACAGGCAGTCCAACTCCTCCAGGATGGCACATCAATACGTGCTACTGCCAGAAGGTTTGCTGTGTCTTCCAGCACAGTTTCAGGAGCATGGAGGAGATTCCAGGAGAAAGGTAGTTACTCTAGGAGAGCTAGACAGGGCCATAGAAGGTCCTTAACCCATCAGCAGGACCAGTGTCTGCTCCTATGTACAAGGAGAAACAGGATGAACACTGCCAGAGCCCTACAAAATGACCTCCAGCAGGCCACGGGCATAAATGTCTCTGACTAAACAATCAAAAACAGACTTCATGAGGGTGGCCTGAGGGCCCGACGTCCTCTAGTGGGCCCTGTGCTCACTGCCCGGCACCATAGAACTCGATAGGCATTTGCCACTGAACACCAGAATTGGCAGGTCCACCACTGGCATCCTGTGCCTTTCACAGAGGAGAAAAGGTTCACCCTGAGCACATGTGACAGACGTGAAAGGGTCTGGAGAAGCCGTGGAGAAAGTTATGCTGCCTGTAAAATCCTTCAGCATGACCGTTTTTGGTGGTGGGTCAGTGATGGTCTGGGGAGGCATATCCATGGAGGGATGCACAGACCTCTACAGGCTAGACAATGGCACCCTGACAGCCATTAAGTATCGGGATGAAATCCTTGGACCCATTGTCAGACCCTATGCTGGTGCAGTGGGTCTTGGTGCTTGACAATGCCTGGCCTCATGTGGCAAGAGTATGCAGGCAGTTCCTGGAGGATGAAGGAATTGATGCCATTGAATGAACCCCAAGCTCGCCTGACCTAAATCCAATAGAACACCTTTGGGATACCATGTCTTGGTTCATCCGACACCGCCAGGTTGCACCTCAGACTGTCCAGGAGCTCAGTGATGCCCTGGTCCAGATCTGGGAGGAAATACCCCAGTGCACCATCCGTCATTTCATTGGGAGCATGCCCGACGTTGTCAGGCATGCATACAAGCATGTGGGGGCCATACAAACTATGAGTACCATTTTGAGTTGCTGCAATTAAATTTTAGCAAAATGGACTAACCTGCTGCATCATTTTTAACTTTGATTTTTTTGGGTGTCTTTAAATTCAGTCCTCTGTAGGTTGATAATTTTAATTTCCATCAAACGATGGGGCATCCTTAGTTCCTAACACATTGCCCAGTCCATATCAGTATAGATACCCAAAATGATATTTTTCCCCATTGAGTGCTGATGTGTTTTCAAAGTGTTCCTTTAATGTTTTTGAGCAGTATATATGTAAAAGTGTTCTTACTAAGAACTACAGTTACTTATCTCCAGGCAGCAATCAGCATCATATCTACCATGAAAGTCTCAAAACATATTGAGATGTTGATAAATAATAATGTGGGTTTCCTTTGAAATAGTTCTATTACGCAAAGTACAGTGTTTTCACATGCAACATCAGAGACCTGAAGTGGAACTTAACCTATTCACAAAGCGCAACACGGCTCGCTCATGAGCAGTGAGAAACTGGCTCTGAAATCACAAGGCTTCACTGCGGGTTTCCTTTAGTTAAGATGCCAGCGCCTGGACCCAAAGCCGATTGAAGAATTGGCTCAGGTGAAGAGAGCGCTCGATCCCTGAACAGGCAAGTGTCCTTACATTAAAAGTCAACAGCTACAGTATTTGTAGCTGCTGACTTTTAATTTTTTGGGAGGAGAGTGGCACTCCTTTTTAAGTTATGCTACTTTGTATTCAAAAAATATATTACTGAGACTGTCTGAGAAAAATGTAAGATAACATGATTATTTAAATCATGTTCTTCTCCTCTTTGGACATTCTCCAGACCGATAGAGACTCACACAATTACATTCCTACTTGTATTGCAAATTTCTATTTCCAGATCTTGGTTTTACATATACTTTACATGATCATTGTATTCTCTGACTGCTTTCACTACTAACATTATACATTACATTTCTAACACAGGCTGCATGTTTAATACATACTCATAGATAGCCTTGATGTAGTCAGAGTCACTGTTGTTCTGTGCTTGAATTTTAGTTCCCATGGCCGTCTCTAAAAAAAAAACAAAAAAAAAAAACAAATTAAAAACAAATTAGTAGCCTGTTTCCCACAGAAATTCTTGAGAAATTACAAAGGCCAGTGCAATGCTGACATTCTCCGATGCTGCTGGCAGTAGCACAAGGGGCAGACCGCATACACTTCGGGGAAGTACGAGAGTGTGACCTGTGGCAGGCTAGGCAAAATTCGCTATAAGCTGGCCCAAAACAAACTTTACCCCGTGACAGTACCAGCAGCATTGCAGAACTTACAAGCCAGGCCATTAGAAAAATAAGTTTGCCTACAAACAGGTTTTCTATAATATATTTGTATATTTACATTTATAGTTTTTCAGCATAGCAAATTACTATTGATACCCTGCAATCTGTGGTTTCGAAGGGCTGTTCCACTTTCAATGAAAAAAATGAAAACAATTTTTCATTGTTTGAGTTTCTCACAATGGGTCTGCTTTGGGGATACAATTCAACAAAATGATCAGCTTTATCTTTGCCTGATAAAAGCTAGGGAGGGTCATACTCTATGCTTTGCCAAAAACAAAACAGTCTCTGTAAATAAAATGGTGTAGATCATAGGGGGCTCCTGCTGTTGTACATGATTATTGGGTTGGCAGCAAACAGTAAACGATGCGTTGCCACACTGCAGACATTTAACCACTTTCCCTCCTGAGGATTTACCCCCCTTCCTGACCAGGACATTTTTTGCGCTACGGCGCTGCGTTACTTTAACTGACAATTGTGCGGTCATGCAACACTGCACCCAAATTAAATTTATGCCCTTTTTTTCCCACAAATTGAGCTTTCTTTCAGTGGTGTTTGATCGCCTGTGCAGTTAAAAAAAAAAGACTGACAATTTTGAGAAATAAACAATATTTTTGACTTTTTGCTATTAAACATGTCCAGTAAAAAAAAATTTTAAAAATCAAATTTCATCATAAATTTAGGCCAAAATGTATTCTGCTAAAAAAAAAAATCCCATTACGTGTAAATGAAATGGTTTGTGTGAAAGTTTTAGAGTTTACAAATGGCGGTATAGATACAGGAATTTTTTTTTTTTAATTTTTACTAGTAATGGCAGCAATCAGCGACTTATAGCTGGACTGCGGCGGGCATTCTGACACTGGGGGGAACTGACCTAGTGTCACTGACATCCCTACTGGCACCAATATAGTGATCAGTGCTAAAAAAAAGCACTGACACTGTTCTAATGGCACTGGGCAGGAAAGGGTTAACATGAGGGCGATCAAAGGGTTAACTGTGTGCCGTGTGCTGTTTTACTTGTGTATGTGTGTCTGTGCTTCACTGTAATCACACTGCTTTGGATGGCTGTGCTATGCAATCTCCTAGATTGTAAGCTCGAAAGAGCAGGGCCCTCAATCCCCTCATGTTTTGCATTGTATTGTATTGTTATTGTTCTGTCCCCCATTGTAATGTACAGCGCTGAGCGAACTATTGGCGCTTTATAAATACTGTATAATAATAATAATATACTGTACTGTGTAATATACTGTACTGTATTGTACTGTGCAATATACTGTACTATGTTAAATACATCATGCCCAATGTGCTCACATTTATAATAAAAAACCATATGTGTATTTGTTCACCAGTGTTCTTATTTATCTACTCTTACCCTTCATATACTTGTTTTATATCCAATCAATTATTCACATGTGTGGGGTTTATGTTTAATGATGGAAATATTGCATTCCTTCTCCTGTCTGTAGGGCACGTAGGGAAATGGTCCTTGTCACTATTTTGAATGACCCTGCCCTTATGCTGATTAACACAAATGGTCAGTGCTATTTACCATCACAGTCTGAGCTGAATAGAGAAAATAGACACTTTCACTTAAATAAAATGGAGATATGTAGGGCAAGTATTGGTGGAAGTGAGGTATAAATAGAAAGACTGACACGCACATCCTTGGAAGAAGTATTGATGACGAAACTGGTCAGAAGTGACACCAGACACTGGAATTGATGCAATTGCATACATTGAAAGTGCCACAGTAGCCATTTTAGAAGTGGTTACAGGAGGTTTTTATGCTGAATGTTTGTAAGTGCATAGATTTTAATAAATAAATATATGGTTTTATAAGGATTTACTGCACTATGTCCTCTGCATGATATCTCTTGCATGGGAACCCTGAAGAGAAGCCAGAGTTAAGAAGGGGATTGTTGAAAGTGGAGGAGTTTTGTGGAAAGTGATTTGAAAGGCATCAAGCTGGTAAAGTGCATGGAATGACACTATTTAACACGTACATGCGGTCTATCTGCATCACTTAAAGGGATATGCACTAGTCCGGTGGTATGGAAATGTGAGTGGTTTTAAGTTTTATTTTCATGCGTTGTTTATAAGCAGTATCACACCATTATAGTCTTTGTTTTTTGGGGACCATTCACACAAGTCACACTGGCAAAGAGCAGGAAGAAGGTGGAATGGTTTATTTAAAGCACAGTTTATTGGACTTTTGGTAAAGAGCTTGGAGTGTCTTTGCCGAGGTGGATCCTTCTATGGGAACACACAGTTAATATAATACAATGTTAGTGGCTTTCTATCTGGGAGAGATTTTTAGAAAACAGTATTGCGCTATATTGGTATTTTGGGTCAGATCATGTGAATCTTCACACGAGATGACCATTGAAGTACCAGCCACAAGGAGATACAGAGCTGAAGTGAATTTGAGAATAAATAAATTGGATATACAAGTATATGAAGGGTAAGGGTAGTTAAAGAAGAACATTGGTGAACAAATACACATATAATTTCGTATTATAAATGTGAGCACATTGGGCATGATGTATTGGCATAGTACAGTATATTATATTTCTTTTTTTGGAGATCACTATATGGGAAGATTGGATTCACAGGAAGAAGTTGATGGATGTATGATGTCTTATCTTCAGTTATACAGAGGCGATACTGAACTTATTATTTTTTTTAGAAAGTTGGTCACTTCTATCATTACCATTTCTCTCTATGAGGGGAACAGATTGACTCCAGCTGTTAAGGGAATGATCGTTGTTTACTATATTTTGTTTGTTTAAAGAAAAAAAGGGGAGTTCAAGCACGCTGTTTAAAAATATTTATTGTTCAGAGATTGTACGCTGAGAATGCTGAGTTGTAAAGGTCTTAAGTGGAACCAAGCAAATGAGACTGCCTTGAATGAGGTTACTAACAAACCAAGAATTCTTGTGCAGAATCGTAGGGTCAGATGGCTCCTGGACTCTACAATTCAAGTCTGGGATCAGATAGTCAGAATTTGGTGCTCTGGCTGAGGCAGTATGTAGGACCAGACCCAGATATTTCAAATGATGGTGAAATGAAGAGTCTGGTGACATCAAAATTGAAAATTCAGAGTATGGGAGCAGAGAATTAGAGATTTCTTTGGTGGAAGAAAAACTCTAGCTTGAGCTCTGTCTAGAAAGAAATCCAAGATACTCCAAGGGATGAATCCATTCCAGCACTGATTTTTAAGGTTTAGTATCCCCACATTTGTAGGATCTGGACAGTCTGCATTGCATTATCAGACAGAGTCTGTGCTGACTGTTCACTGAATATAAGATCATCCAGGTATCCCACAATGGGAATGCCATTGGAGTGTAGAAAAGCTAGCACAGGTGCTAGTACTTTGGAAAAAACTCAGGGGGAGGAAGACAGACAAAAGAGAAGGGATGCAGACTGGTAGTGTTGGAGTCTCACAGCAAAACTAGGGTAGCATCGGTGTGCTAGAAAGGAGACATTCAAGTAAGGATCTTTGATGTTCACAGAGGCTAAAAAGTCTACCTGACGGACAGAAGCTATAACAGATCTGATGGATTCTATGCAAATGGTTTAAAATGACAACATGAAGCGGAGGGAGGTTGAGAAAAAAAGCTCTTTTTTTTACACCTTGTCTTTTATCCATGCATTGAGATGCTTGCTAACTAGGTGTCCTCAGACGCTAGTTCAACGTGGTCATGTCCCTTAATGCTGAAGAGGACCTGTCTGCAGGACTTGTGGGTTTCAGGGCACAAGGTTTTCAACTGAACTGAGCCCCTGGCTTGGGTCTGGCTTTAGAGTTGAAGGCCTGGGTAAAATGAAGTGAACTCTTTTTAGCCTCAGAGGTGGGAGGATGTTTCCCAGTCTGAGGCCTAGGTTTCTTCCGCTAGGACAAAAGAGTACTTCCACCAGTAGGAGACATTTTCCATCAAAAGGCATGTGCAGCAAGCGTTCTGTGCACTGCTGTTCTGCAGACTAACATTTAAGCTGAAGTGTTCTCTGAATATTGACATACCACAAACCCATTTGGGAAATAGGATGAACAAAATCCACTAACATTCACAAAAGTGCAATGCTGTAAGCAAAAGCTGTAAGGGCTACATAACTGAATGGTCAGTAAAGACAGCAACTGGTTCCTCAGAGCTTCAGTCTCCCAAATGTCTCATGAATTGACTTTGCAGCTATAGCAGTTGCATAGCAGGACCTGCTAGCAAAAATAAAAATTTGGAAAGGTTTCCAGGCATTTATCAACAGGATCCTTAAACACTGAGACATCCTTAATAGGAACAGTCAGTGTTTTGCTAAGGGAAGCCTGTTCCCACGGTGAATCCACTGAGGGAAAGGGCTCCCCAAATGAGTATAGGTACAACAAACATTTTGAAGAAAAAAACTTAGGAGGATTTTTCCAGTCAAATCACGGCAGTCACATGACCCTAAAACCCTGCCCCGCCTCCCGGCTTCTGAAACTCTTAAAGGGCCAGGAGGCGCCGGCGCCAAGGGGTTAATAACTTAATGAACAGAAGAACAATTTCCAAAATTTTTACAAAACTGAGTTTTATAGAACATTTGTTTAGCTAATTACATGAAAGTAAGGTTAATAATATAACTTAGATTACAAAATCTTCAGTTTTACTCAAATTAGTTGATGCAAAAATGAATACACCCCACAACAAAAACTACTACATCTAGTCTTCTAGGCATGAAGCACCCATGCAGCCCCACAGGACATTGCCACCCCCATGTTTCACTGTAGGCACCATGCATTTTTCTTTGTACTGCTCACCTTTGCGACACCATACAGTTTTAAAGCCATCAGTTCCCAAAACATTTATCTTGGTCTCATCACTACAGAGTACAGAGTCCCAGAAGTTGTATTCTTCTTTCAGCATGAGACCTGGCAAATTCTAGGTGTGCTTTTTTGTGTATGGGCTTTAGGAGAGGCTTCTTTCATGGTTGACACCCATGCATGCCATTTCTCTGCAGTGTACGCCATATTGTTACATAGTTAGTCTGGCTGAAAAAAGACAAAAGTCCATCTAGTTTAATCATAGCAAAAAAAAAAAAAAGTTATAATCGTATACCCACAGTTGATCCAGAAGAAGGCAAAAAAAAACCCAGCAAAGCACGATCCAATTTGCTCCTGCTGGAAAAAAATTCCTCCCTGATCCCTGATTGGGATTATGTGGAGTTTTGCATGAATTGAGTATAAAATGTGCTCTGAACGTCATCTAAGTCACAACAATAGAAGAACACAGTCTGCTGAATATAATACTACACAAACATTAGATGTTGCCATGGTTTAATTGCACATAACATGTAAACATTCACAGTGCAGGGAGGAAAAAGTATGTGAGGCCCTAGCTTAATGACTTCTCCCAGAGCTAATTGGAGCCAGGAGTGAGCCAACCTTGACACCAATCAGTGTGATGATATTGGATGTATTGCTGACAGCTGTCCTGCCCTTAAAAAACACACACCTGTTTTGAGGTTACTGGTTTCAAGAAGCACTGTCTGATGTGAACCATGCCTCACAGAAAAGAGCTCTCAGAAGACCTACAATCAAGAATTGTTGACTTGCATGAAGCTGGAAAGGGTTACAAAAGTATCTCCAAAAGCCTTGATGTTCATGTGTCCACGGTAAGACAGACTGGCTACAAATGGAGAAAGTTTAGCACTGTTGCTACTCTCCCTAGGCATGGTCGTCCTGTACAAATGACTGCAAGAGCACAGCGCAGAATGCTGCATGAGATAAAGAAGAATCCCAGAGTGTCAGCTAAAGACCTACAGAAATCTCTGGCACATGCTAACATTTTTGTTGACACATCTACAATAAGGAAAACATTAAACAAGAATGGAGTACATGGGAGGACACCACGGAGGAAGCCATTGCTATCCAAAAAGAATATTGCAGCATGTTTGAAGTTTGCAAAAGAGCACCTGGATGTTCCACAGCACTACTGCCAAAATATACTGTGGACAGATGAAACCAAGATTAAGTTGTTTGGGAAAAACACACAACACTATGTGTGGAGAAAAAAAGGCACAGCACCCCCATATCAAAACCTCATCCCCACTGTAAAATATGGCGGAGGGAGCATCATGGTTTGGGGCTGCTTTGCTGCCTTAGGGCCTGGACGGGTTGTTGTCATTGATGGGAAAATGAGTTCCAGAGTTTATCAAGACATTTTGCAGGAAAATGTACGACCGTCTGTCCGCCAACTGAAGCTACGCAGAGGATGGGTGATGCAACAGGACAATGACCCAAAGCATACAAGTAATTAAACAAAACAATGGCTGCAACAGCACAGAATACGCCTTCTGGAGTGGCCCAGTCAGAGGCCTGACCTCAACCTGATTGAAATGCTGTGGCATGACCTTAAGAGAGCGATTCACACCAGACATCCCAAGAATATTGCTATACTGAAACAGTTTTGTGAAGAGGAGTGGTCCAAAATTACTCCAGATCGTTGTGTAGGTCTGATCTGCAACTACAGGAAACGTTTGGTTGAGGTTATTGCTGCCAAAGGAGGGTCAACCAGTTATTAAGTCCAAAGGTTCACATACTTTTTCCTCCCTGCACTGTGAATGTTTACATGTTATGTGCAATTAAACCATGGCAACATCTAATGTTTGTGTAGTATTATGTTCAGCAGACTGTGTTCTTCTATTGTTGTGACTTAGATGACGTTCAGAGCACATTTTATGCCCAATTCATGCAAAACTCCACGTAATCCCAAGGGGTTCACATACTTTTTCTTGCAACTGTAAATGTTAGTATCCAGTTATATTATGTGTATCTAAGAAACAATCCAGGCCTTTTCTGAAGCAATTCACTGAGCTGGCCAGAACCAACTCTTGAAGGAGTCTATTCCACATTTTCACAGCTCTCACTGTGAAGAAACCTTTCCGTGTTTGGAGATTAAATTTTCCTCCAGACGTAAAGAGTGCCCCCTTGTCCTCTGTGATGACTCAGGGTGAATAACTCTACACCGACTTAACTATATGAACCACTGATGTATTTATACATTTTGATCATATCCCCCCTTAATCTCCTCTTCTCAAGAGAGAATAAATTCAGTTCCTCTAATCTTTCCTCATAGCTGATCTCCTCCATGCCTCGTATCAGTTTAGTTGCCCTTCTCTGTACTTTCTCCAGTTCCCCAATGTTCTTTTTGTGTGAATTGGTGCCCAAAACTGAACTGCATATTCCAGATGAGGTATAACTAATGATTTGTACAGGGGTAATATGATATCTCTCTTTCTCTCTCTGGAGTCTATACCTCTTTTAATACAAGAGAGGATTTTGCTCGCTTTAGAAACCGCAGCTTGGCATTGCATGCCATTATTAAGCTTGTGATCTACCAGAACTCCCAGATCCTTCTCCACCATTGTGTCACAGGAAACAATCACCCCAGTTTGGCTTTCTACTTCTTTAGCTAACTGCAGTGAACTTGCATTGTGATTTTCTTCAATCCTTCTCATCAGAAGATGCTCCTGTCCAGGTGAGATGGTTGCAGTTCCATCTTAGTTAAATTTTGTATCACTTTTGCTACAGTATTCTGACTGATAAGTAAAGCTTTGCTGATTTTCTTGTAAATTTCACCTTTCTTGTGTAAAGAAATTATTTTCTTTCTCAGGCCTAGTGACATTTCTCTTCCATGTGGTGCCGTTGCTGACAGCATTAAATGGGAATGGGTTTTCTTTGTTAAGTAACTGTCTGCTGGACACCTGTTTAATGAATAATTAAATTCACCTGTAGTTGGATTCTTATTAATTAGGATTTTCTTGACTAAAATTTAGCTTTGCTCTTGAGACTTTCATTGGAGTGTATTCATTTTTGCAACATGGTCATGAATGAATTTGGTAGGAAAAATACATTTTTGTGTGTGCAAATTAACAAATCTTGTTTGCAATCAATTGCCCGCATTTGTGGGAGTATTTTGTAGTATAGTGTCCCATAGAAAATGTTGACTCTGAAAAGAAAGTAAAGGTTTTCTGGCAAATCTGTTAGGATGTGCTCATTTATGCTGAGCACTGTATATATATATTTGATTTAATGAATTCACAGCTGTTGAAGCAGCTTTTTTGCAGATGTTGTCAACTACATAAGATGTTGTTTTGCTAGTGCAGGTTGCACAAAGGAAGTAGACATCTGAGTAGTTGCTAAACAAAACAATGTTAGTTTTCTTTGTACTAGTTTATATTATAAATTAGCCCTCCGTGTTCTCAATAACTGCAAGAACTGTATCAGAACTTACCACATATTATATCCAAAGCACACAGTGTAATATCCATGAAACAATTAAAAGTTCCTTTGCCAACATGACTGTTAAGCTTATCCACCAATATTTTTGACTGCTCATTCATAACTTCCAAGAATTCGGCAAGGATAGCAAAATGGAAAGTTGGAGTTATCATCTTTCTTCTTGATCTCCACTTTTCTCCAGTGCTGGAAATTTAGAACTGCATTGTTATTTTTTCAGTAACTGGCTGTATATAATTTATCTTAGGATACTTTAAAAAGTTTTTACATACAGCGGGTAAAATAAGTATTGAAACAGTCACCATTTTTCTCGGTAAATATATTTCTAAAGATGCTATTTACATGAAATTTTCACCACATGTCGGTAACAACCCATGCAATGCATAAATACAAAGAAACCAAAACAAATAAGTTCAGAAATTAAGCTATGTGCAATAAAATGGAATGACTCAGGGAAAAAGTATTGAACACATGAAGAAAGGGAGGTGCAAAAAAGACATGGAAAGCCAAGACACCAGCTGAAATCTATCAGTATTTAGAAAGCAATCCTTTCCCTTTTCAGTGCAAACTAATATCAGCTGGTTTAGTCTCAACTGATGGCCTATAAAAAGGTGTCTCATTAATAAGGTGTCACACAAGAAACCTCTCATGATGGGTAGAAGCAAAGAGCTCTCTCAAGACCTTTGCAACCTTATTGTTGCAAAACATACTGATGGCATTGGTTACAGAAGGATTTCTAAAGGATTTCTAAACTTCTAAATGTTCCAATGAGCACTGTTGGGGCCATAAAAGTGTAAAAAAACAACATTTCACCATAAACCAGCCACAATCAGGTGCTCCTCACAGGATTTCTGACAGAGGAATGAAAATAATTTTCAGAAGAGTTGTCAAAGAGCCAAGGACCACTGTGGACAGCTCAGAAAGACCTAGAATTAGCAGGTACAATTGCTTCAAAGAAAACAATGAGTAATGCACTCAATCGCCATGGCCTGTATGCACGCTCACCACGCAAGACTCCACTGCTGAAGAAAAAGCATGTTGAAGCTCCTTTAAAGTTTGCTGCACAACATTTAGACAAGCCTGTAAAATACTGGGAGAATATAGTCTGGTCAGGTGAGACCAAAACTGAACTATTTGGATGCCATAATACACACCATATTTGGAAGTCAAATGGCACTGCACATCACCCCAAAAACACCATACCAACAGTGAAGTTTGGAGGTGGGAACATGATGGTGTGGGGCTGTTTTTCAGCATATGGTACTGGCAAACTTCATGTCGTTGAAGAAAGGATGCATGGAAAAATGTACCAATACATTCTTGATAAAAATCTGCTGCCATCTACCAGTACGATGAAGATTAAACGAGGGTGGACATTTCAGCAAGACAATGATCCCAAACACAAAGCTAAGGAAACTTTCAGTTGATTTCAAAGAAATAAAATAAAGCTGCTAGAATGGCCCAGCCAATCACTTGACTTGAATCCAATAGAAAGTCTATGGAAATAACCACAGGTCAGAGTCCATAGAAGAGGCCCATGGAACCTTCAAGATTTGAAGACTGTTTGTGTGGAAGCATGGGCCAAAACCCCACCTTAGCAATGCATGCAGCTAGTTTCTCCATACAGGAGGCATCTTGAAGCTGTCATTACCAACAAAGGATTTTGTAAAAAAGTATTCAATAAATTCCAGTTAGCATATTCAATACTTTTTTCCTGTGTAACTCCATTTTATAACACATAACTTAATTTCTGAACTTAATTGTTTTAGTTTCTTCATATGTATGGATTGCACGGGTTGTAACTGACATGTGGTGAAAAGTTCATGTCAATAGCACCTTTAAAAATATATTTACTGAGAAAAATATTGATGGGTTTCAATACTTATTTTACTGGCTGTATCAAACAAGTGCAGTTTGTAAAACAACCACTAGATGTCATCTAGTTGTTATCAAGTTTTTATGCTTTCTGTGTACCAACTGGTGGGATTTCCCTCTTACTTCCTGTTGTACGGGCAATGATCGTTGTGACAGGAAGAAAAACAGCAGAGATATTCAATAACAACAGAGATCAACAAGTGATGTCATTTTCATTTTCACATATAAAGTTTGGAGTTTGTCAGGCATATTAAGAAGTTATGAATTTTCTAAATGATCAAACCCTTAAAATCTGTGTTTAGCAGGCAGTGATGGGCCGAACACCCCCCTGGTCGGTTCGCGGTTGACCGCAAACTTCAAACAGGGCCGATTTACTGAGCAGTATCTTACCACATCTGAGGATTATTAAGTCATGGTATTTTAGTAGTGAAACATTCTTTCATGTTTTAGCTGTCAGCGGAGTTCCCTGCTGAAAGCTGAATGTCTAAAAAATTGCCAGCATTGCCCGACAATTACAATGTTTTATTAAAAATGGTGTAGGGTCCCCCCTCCAATCCATACCAAGCCCTTTGGCTGTGGATTTGAGGGGAACCCCCAAGTCAATTTTAAAAAAAAATGACGTGGGGGTCCCCCCAAAATCCATACCAGACTCTTATCAAAGCATGCAGCCTGGCAGGTCAGGAAAGGAAGGGGGGGGAACAAGCGAGCACTCCCTTCCCTCCTGAACCATACCAGGCCACATGCCCCCCCCCCAAAGCACCTTGTCTCCATGCTGATGAGGACAAGGGTCTCTTCCCCACAACACTGGTGGTTGTGAGGGTCTGCGGATGGGGGGCTTATCGGAATCTGAAAGCCCCCTTAAACAAAGGGGGCCCTCAGATCCTGCACACCCCCCCCATGCAAATGAGTATGCGGTACATGGTGCCACTACCCATTCACAAGTAAAAAAAAGTGTAGTATAAAAGTGACAGAGGAGACTTTATTAAAAATAAAAAAAATGTCCCCAAAAGCAGAGCCGACGTCAATCACAATGACTACCACCAACCTGAAAAAAAAGAAAAAAAAAAAACTCAGCTCTCAACAATGGTTCCCGCCATCTGACAGCTCTGAAATACTTGTGGCGTCATCACGCACTGTGATTGGCCAATTGGCCAGTCACAATGCACTGTCAAGGCGCTGTAAATTGTGGGGCACAGCAGATGAGTAGCTCGCCAAACGTCCTTACCATTCGTGTGTTCACCGAACACACGAAGGGCCAATGTTCAAGTCGAACTTACATAAATCCCACCACTATTAGTAGGCTTATCCACTTACTGATCTCTGTAAACTGCCCCATTTTTCCAGTCTTCCCCGTAGGTATTCCATCCATCCAAATGAGGAAAATAGGGTAAATGGCAACAGCAAAACTACTATTATGGCCAAATTAATCAGCCCTAACTCTGATGGTGTTTTTTTATTATTAATTTATATATATATATATATATATATATATATACACTATATTGTCAAAGGTATTGGGACACCCCTCCAAATCATTGGATTCAAGTGTTCCAATCACCTCCATGGCCACAGGTGTATAAACTCAAGCACCTAGGCATGCAGACTACTTCTACAAACATTTGTGGGTCGCTTTCAGGATAGATAGATAGATAGATAGATAGATAGATAGATAGATAGATAGATAGATAGATAGACACTATATTGCCAAAAGTATTGAGACGCCTGCCCTTACATGTACATGAACTTTATTGGCATCCCAGTCTTAGTCCATAGGGTTCAATATTGAGTTGGCCCACCCTTTTCAGCTGTAACAGCTTTAACTGTTCTGGGAAGGCTGTCCACAAGGTTTAGGAGTGTGTCTATGGGAATATTTGGCCATTCTTCCAGAAGCGCAGTCAGGCACTGATGTCAGACTAGAAGGCCTGGCTCATAGTCTCCGCTCTAATTGATCTCAAAGGTATTCTACTGGGTTGAGGTCAGGACTCTGTGCAGGCCAGTCAAGTTCCTCCACGCCAAATTCGCTCATCCATGTCTTTATGGAGCTTGCTTTGTGCACAGGTGCACAATCATGTTGGAACAGGAAGAGGCCATCCCCAAACTGTTCCCACAAAGTTGTAAGCATGAAATTGTCCAAAATGTCTTGGTATGCTGACGCCTTAAGAGTTCACTTCACTGGAACTAAGGGGCCAAGCCTGAAAAACAACCCCACACCAAAATCCCCCTCCACCAAATGCAGTCAGGCAAGTACCGTTCTCCTGGCAACCGTCAAACCCAAACACATCCATTGGATTGCCAGCAGAGAAGTGTGATTCTTCACTCCAAAGAACACGTCTCCACTGCTCTAGAATCCAGTGGCAGGGTTCTTTACATTACTGCATCCAATTGCTTTGCATTACACTTGGTGATGTAAGGCTTGGATGCAGCTGCTCGCCATGGAACCCCATTCCATGAAGCTCTCTATGCACTGTTGTAGTGCTAATCTGAAGGCCACATGAAGTTTGGAGGTCTTCAGCTATTGACTCTGCAGACAGTTGGTGACTTCGGCGCACTGTGTGCTTCAGCATGTGCTGACCCCGCTCTGTCATTTTACGAGGCCTAACACTTTGTGGCTGAGTTGCTGTTGTTCCCAGTTGTTTCCACTTTGTTATAATATCACTAACAGTTGACCATGGAATATTTAGTAGTGAGGAAATTTCACAGATAGACTTATTGCACAGGTGGCAACCTATCACAGTACGATTGAATTCACTGAGCTCCTGAGAGATAACCGTTCTTTCACAAATGTTTGTAGAAGCAGTCTGCATACCTAGGTGCTTGATTTTATACACCTGTGGCCATGGAGATGATTGGAACACCTGAATCCAATGACTTGGAAGGGTGTCCCAATACTTTTGGCAATATAGTGTATATATACAGTGCTCATCATAAATCAGTACACTTTTGAAAAGTAAGATTTTAATCAATATCTCAATGAACACAAGAACAATTTCCACAATTTTGACAAAACTGGGTTTTATAGAACATTTGTTTAGCTCATTACATGAAAGTAAGGTTAATAACATAACTTAGATTACAAAATCTTCAGTTTTACTCAAATTAGTTGATGCAAAAATGAATACACCCCACAACAAAAACTACTCCATCTAGTATTTTGTATGACCTCCATGTTTTGTAAGGGCAGCACCAAGTCTTCTAGCCATGGAATGAACAAGCTGGCAACATACTGCAACATCTATCTTTTTCCATTCTTCAAAAACGACCTCTTTTAGAGCCTGGATGCTGGATGGAGAGTGATACTCAACTTGTCTCTT